GCTTGTAATCCCAGCACTTTGGGAGATTGAGGTGGGCAGATCACCTGAAGTCAGGAGTTTGAGACCAGTCTGGCCAACATGGTGAAACCCTGACTCTATTAAAAATAAAAAAATTAGCCGGGCGTGGTGGCAGGCACCTGTAATCCCAGCTTCTTGGGAGGCTGAGGCAGGAGAACTGCTTGAACTCAGGAGGCAGAGATTGCAGTGAGCCGAGATACTGCCATTGTACTGTAGCCTGGGTGACAGAGTGAGACTCCATCTCTAAATAAATAAATAAATAAATAGAGAGAGGGAATAAATTCTTAATCTTCAGAATAAAATAGAAATATTCAGTAATTTTGGCCCGGCATGGTGGCTCATGCCTGTAATCCCAGCACTTTGGGAGGCTGAGGTGGGAGGATCTCTTGAGCTCAGGAGTTTGAGACCAGACTGGGCAGTTTCTACTGAAAATACACACACACAAAATTAGCAGGATGTGGTAGTTGTGTGCCTATAGTCCCAGCTACTTATGGAACTGAGGTGGGAGGATCACTTGAGCCTGGGAGGCAGAGGTTGCATGAGCAGTGATCACCCCACTGCAATCCAGCCTGGGCAACAGAGTGAGACTCCGTCTCAAAAAAAAAAAAAAATAGGAATATTCAATTAAAAGACAATTATTTAAATTTCCTGCACCATCAGACCTTTTCTAGAAGTCTGTGAGCTGTCAAATTGTTTCTAACAGGAGGTTTTTTAGGCAGTCAAGCGGATTCTCTTAACAAAAATGCTAGCGGAAGAAGAAATGGGGGTCAGGTGCAGTGGCTCACGCCTGTAATCCTAGGACTTTGGGAGGTTGAGGAGGGTGGATCATGAGGTCAAGAGATCGAGACCATCCTGGTCAATATGGTGAAACCCCAACTCTACTAAAAACACAAAAGTTAGCCAGGTGTGGTGGTGTGCACCTGTAGTCCTGGCTACTGGGGAGGCTGGGGTAAGAGAATCACTTGAACCTGCAAGGTGCAGGTTGCAGTGAGCCAAGATTGTACACTGCCACTGCACTCCAGCCAGGGTGACACAGTGAGACTCCATCTCAAAAAAAAAGGAAAGAAATAGGAAACTAAGTGACACAAATTCAACAGTCAGAGTCGGTTTCACAAAATTGCCCCCAGTTCTTAAAGGGTAGCTGCTCAGCCTGCATAAAAATCATGCTTTCAGTGACTCTAGAAGTATTAATCACTGAGAAATACAATGTTTTCTAGTTGCAGGCAATTACATTTACTTTATAATTTGACAGCGTTTTTTTCAAATGGTATGACCATTAGTGGGTTACAACCATAAGTGAGCTATGAAACCAACTTAGTAGGTCACATCACAACCAATCAAAGTGTGCTTATATGAATGTGTATATCTGTGTGTGTGTAGCACACACATTTATACATACCGATACACACATACACATATAAGGATTGCTCGTTAAGCTTTTGTTAGCTTTCTTTATGTGAATATGAGTCTCAAAATAAATTATATTTCTTACTGTGGATGGCACCTTTAAAAGCTTGAAAAATAATGCTATAAGATGTAATTTTACTTTAGGAACAACTGACGAAGAAGAGTGTGTTTATGTATGATGGCCAAAATCTGTATTTCTGCATTTCTGTAAATTCTGCGTTTTATAGCAGCAGCCAGAAAATATACAAAACAGTGACCCAACGTGAGTGCTGTATGATTGCCCTTCTTTGTCTTTTTTCCTTTTCCTCATTAATCAGCTGACTGAGCTGATTAAGAAGCTGCAACTGCTGCCTGGGCACAGTGGCTCACACCTGTAATCCCAGCACTTTGGAAGGCTGAGGCAGGTGGATCACCTGAAGTCAGGAGTTCGAGATCAGCCTGACCAACATAGTGAAACCCTGTCTCTACTAAAAATACAAAAATTAGCTGGGTGTGGTGGCACAAACTTGTAATGCTAGCTACTTGGAGGCTGAGGCAGGAGAATAGCTTGAATCCAGGAGATGGAGGTTGCAGTGAGCCAAGATTGCACCACTGCACTCAAGCCTGGGCAAGAGTGAGACACTGTCTCAAAAAATAAAATAGGCCAGACATTGTGGCTCACACCTGTAATCCCAGCACTTTGGGAGACTGAAACGGGCAGATCATTTGAGGTCAGGAGTTCGAGACCAGCCTGGCCAACAGGGTGAAAACCTATCTCCTACTAGAAATACAAAAATCAACCAGGCGTGATGGCAGGTGCCTGTAATCTCAGCCACATGAGAAGCTGAGGCAAAGAATCGCTTGAACCCTGGAGGTGGAGCTTGCAGTGAGCTGAGATTACGCCACTGCATTCCAACCTGGGTAACAGAGTGAGACTCCATCTCAAAAATAAATAAATAAATAAAATAAAAAGAAACTGGAGCTGCTAATTTTGTTTTTTTAAAAATTTTTATAAAGTTACTAATTTTTAAATTAAGGGACATAAATTATTTGATTCAACTTTTCATTTACTTTATCTGGGCCTTAGAAATATCGTAATTACAGGCCAGGCACGGTGGCTCACGCCTATAATCCCAGCACTTTGGGAGGCCGCGGCGGGTGGATCACAAGGTCAAGAGATCGAGACCATCCTGGTCAACAAGGCGAAACCCCGTCTCTACTAAAAATACAAAAAAATTAGCTGGGCATGGTGGCATGCTCCTGTAGTCCCATCTGCTCGGGAGGCTGAGGCAGGAGAATTGCTTGAACCCAGGAGACGGAGGATGTGGTGAGCCAAGATGGCGCCATTGCACTCCAGCCGGGGTAACAAGAGTGAAACTCCGTCTCAAAAAAAATAAATATCGTAATTACACTGAAAACCTTGTAAACAATAGCCTGACTTGCAAAATCATCTTAGATGATTTCCACCTCTCTTCTTGCCCTCTGCCCTTCAGTAAATCAGATTAAAACACGGCTTGCTTTATAAGAATGTAAACTGGGATTGGCAAATTTGAACATTAGGCCCGTTTTTCTCAGGAAACTAAATACCTTGCTCTTGTAAAAGGTTGATGGTAGGTCTTCCAGCAGAGCGTGAGTGCACATTTCTGTTTAACGATAAAATTTCTTTTAAGTACCACTGTGAAAGTATTCTTTTTGATTTATTAAAGTAGTTCAGAGAAAAACAAATATAGAGCTCCATTTCAGAAGAACTCTGATCATTATTTAATTTGCTCTATATCTATTAACATAGAAAAATAATTAACCTACAAAGGCAAATTTAGTCTTTTGGCTAATTGGATCTGTCTGATTAGGACTTGTCTTTGCTCTTCCCTCTGTTCATCAGTGCCAGCAAATCTCAGGGAGAAATCTAGTCCAACCTACAACAAAAAAATAAAAGATATTACATATTTAGGTTTAAGGAAACTCAAAAGAGATATTTTGGATTGATGCTATCCAATAGAACATAATGCAAGGTGTAAAAGCAAGCCACATAAAAATATTCATTCTAGTAGCCACATTAAAAATATTAACAAAAACAGATGAAATTAATCTTAATATACTTTAACGCAATATATTTCATATATTATTATTTTAACATGTAGCCAATATAAAATATTTAGTTATTTTTATATTCCTTTTTGTTTGTTTGAGACGGAGTCTGGGTCTGTCACCTAGGCTGAAGTGCAGTGGCACGATCTCAGCTCACTGCAACCTCTGCCTTCCGGGTTCAAGCGATTCTCTTGCCTCGGCCTCACAAGTAGCTGGGATTACAGGCATATGCCACCATGCCCAGCTAATTTTTGTATTTTTGGTAGAGACAAGGTTTCACTAGGTTGGTCAGGCTGGTCTCGAACTCCTAACCTCAAGTGATCTACTGCCTCAGCCTCCCAAACTGGTGGGATTACAGGTGTGAACCACCCTGCCTGGCCTTTGTGTTTTTTTCTTTTTGGTATTAAAAGTTTGAAATCCACAGTGTATTTTACGCTTACAGCACATCTCAGTTCAGAACAGTCACATTTCAAATGCTCAGGAGCCATAAGTGGCCACTCCATTGGATGCCACAGATTATAGATGACTCCTTCTCCTGGGACTATTTTGGCATGCATTCTACAATCTATTCTGAATTTAAGTGTTATTCTTATTTTTTGTCTTTAATTAAAAATGGAATTTATTACCAAGTAATAAAAATATTTCACAATTGGCCAAGCATGGTGGCTCATGCCTATAATCCCAGTACTTTGGGAAGCCAATGTGGGTGGATTACCTGAGGCCAAGTGTCCAAGGCTAGCCTGGCCAACATGGTGAAACCCTGCCTCTACTAAAAATACAAAAAAATTAGCTGAGTGTGGTGGCGCATGCCTGTAATCCCAGCTACTTGGGAGGTTGAGGCAGGAGAATTGCTTCAACCTGGGAGGCGGAGGTTGCAGTGAGCCGAGATTGCACCACTGCACTCCAGCTGGGATTGCACCACTGCACTCCAGCCTGTATGACAGAGCAAGATTCCGTCTCAAAAAAAAAAATCACAATTATAAATTATTTAAATAAAAAAGTTATTTAATTACAAACTCTAGCCCATTTAAAGTGTGTTTCTAAATTACTTATGAAGAATTATAGATACTGTATTAACTCACCAGAGCAAGGACCGATATTTAAGCACAAGAAAAGAGAAAGCAAATTCAGAAATGCTATGATTTTTTTCCAATTAAGGTAGGCCTATGGAAAGGCTTTCGATTGTTCCATTCCCATGCTTTCTTATTAAAGAAGGAACAACAAATTATTATTTGGCTAAATGTGGTGAACATAATTATTTAAGTCAGTTACAATCACCAATACTGAACTAAGGATTATTTTCATATATAGAAGTTTGAATTAGAAGTCATTTGATCAGCCTAGCTGGTGTTTACCTCTCCAATTGCCAACAATTGATCCTTATAATTCTTGATAATGGGCAAAGCTACATCCAAATCCTGGGAGAAAAAAAGTAAAATTGTTAAAATGGAAAACAGGAACTGCTATTTCACAAGCTCCAATTATGTGCTAGGTGCTATGCTATCCTGGTGTTTTATGTACATTTAATTCATTTAAGTAGTCAAAGAACTAGCAATAGTAATCCTTCTACAATGGTGAGTACCTCTACCTGAAATTTGAGTAGAAACATATCCCATATCCATTCAGGTTATAATAATATGACTTTTTATGAAAGGCGCCACTCAAACATTGCCTTCTGTTTAGGAGGTATTTCCTGACATTTAGGAGGCATTTGGACATTCTGAAATCACTAAAAAAAAGAGAGGCAAAGCACCAGGTAGTCATCTTTGCACGTGAATTTTGCAATTGCATTGTTATGTTCTCCCCTTAGAATTCGTCTGCTTGGTGAGTTTATATTAATGATAATCCCATACTTCCTTTGCACTGTTTTCACTGATTTCATTTGTCCTTATAGTCCTGCTTTGATTACTTGTCCTAAAGGTTCAACAATATAAACAATGAATATCTCATACATGCTTGTTAACTATTGAAGTAGCTGTATATCATTAGTTTCAATGATATTACCTTTTCCACTCAGGAGAATTTGCCCTGTGAGAGTTCCTGTCTTAGGCAAGGAAAAGAAATATACAGCAAATTGCTTCTAGATACCTTTTAGACTATATTGCAGATTTTAGTTTCAGGATATGTAAATTGCAAAGTATTTCTCCTGAGGATAATCAGAACAAGACAGAATTAAGAAAAGATGAACTACCATACGATCCAGAAATCCCACTCCTGGGTATTTCTCCAAAGAAATGGGAATCAGTATATCAAAGGGAGACCTGGAACCCCATGCTTATTGCAGCACTGTTCACAATAGCTAGAATATCGAGCCAACCTGTGTGTCCATCAACAGATGAATGGTAAAGAAAATGTGGTGTATATACTCAAGGGAATTCCATTCAGCCATAAGAGAGAATAAAAATCTTTTCATTTGCAGCAACATGGATGAAACTGGAGGCCATTAAAGTAAGAGAAATAAGGCAGACCCTGACAAGTAACACATGTTCTCACTCATATGTTGGAGCCAAAAAATGCTGACCTCATGAAGGTAGAGTGTAGAATGATGGTTACTAGAAGCTGGGATGGGTTTATGTGTGTTGGAGAGGATAAAGAGAGGTTAGTCAATGGCTGCAAACATTAGTTAGAAGAAATAAATACCTGTGTTCGATAGCACACTAGGCTGACTATAATTAACAATATGTATTTCAAAATAGCTAGATTTGAAATGTTCCCGACAAAAATAAATGATAAATATTTGAGGTGATGAATATCCTAAGTACCTGATCAATAACCTGATTTAATCATTATACATTCCATGAATGTATCAAGGTATCACATGTATGCCATAAAAATAT